TCATCTGGCGAGAAACAAATCTGTCCCCAAGGGTAGGATGCAAAAAAAGACCGCATCTCGTCCCAATCGGCCGACCTATAGGGCCAAACACGGCGACGAGCTGCAGATCACAACTGCGATTGGAGCGTGAGTGGCACCATACTCCGGATCAGACAATGATCTGGAGGCCATGAGGGAATCGACGGAGACCAGATATCCGTCCGGATGAGAGGTCAGCAGAAGGTCCAACAGGGAAAGTACATGATCCTCCACATCTGGGATCTACGTAGGCGAAGTAACCAGTTGTGTCAGACCATATGCCAAGGCAAAGTTCAATTCAGAGGTGGGCTATTTTAAATGCTCATGTAAAATCGTTATCGCTAAAACCACTTTCTGAAACTAGATGGGAGTGCATGGTAGCATCGGGGAAGGCCGTTAAATACCAACTAAGCGATATATGTGACGGTTTAAAGGATTTAGCAGAAAATACAACAGATTGTCAGTTGGCCAGTCAATGTCATTCTATAGAAAAGGAAATAACTACCTACGAATTTCTAGCTTCACTTGCCATATGGCATGATATTCTTACAAAGATAAGTGTTATAAATAAAATGTGGCAAAGCGAAAACATGCACTTAGATGTGGCTATACAACACCTAGACGCATTCACACATTGGCTCGATAATTATCGAGAAAACGGTTTTCAGTCATCCCTTGTAACAGCGAGAGAAATAGCCGAGGAAAATGATATTGACAGACATTTCACAGAAGTCAGAAAACGACGAAAAAAAAAGAATTTTGATTATGAAGGGTAAGATGAAGCTCATGAATTGAATGCGGAAGAAATGTTCAAAATTAACTATTTTTATGTCATTGTCGACAATGTGCGTGCAAGCTGCCGTCCTAGGTTTGAAGCTCTTGAAGATCATGAGAGCATATTTGATGTCATGTGTAATATAAAAGATTAAAGGAAATTAGTGATAGTGAACTTTGAAGCAATGCAGGGACTTGCAAATATCTAGGACAGTAGGAGACTCGTGTGAGATTGATGGACATGAATGGTACGAAGAACTGAATATGTTCATCCATGTGTATGAAGGAAGCGACGACATTATCTCGGTGCTGAAATACATAATAGAAAAAAAAATTATTGAAGTTTACCCCACTATCGAAATTGTCCTGAGAATTATTGCTACCACACCTCTTACAGTTGCGCCTGCTGAAAGGAGTTTCTCGAGGCTTAAAATTTCTAAAACATATTGAGGAATTTGATGACACAAGATCGGTTTTCAGCCCTTGCTATTCTTTCAATCGAAAATGATGTAGCTCATTCGTTAGATTATTGTGCTTTAATTAATGATTTTAGCCTTAGCCTTATTTGTTAATTTTGTAAATCTTTCAATGTTTAAGCGTCAGTAGCCTAATGGCAGGGCGCGGACCGTGAACTCGAAAGGTCGTGGGTTCGAATCCGCCATTCGACTACTGCCGTAACATAAGCATTTATTTTAAGCTTACCAGAAGTGGTTAAAGAGTTTAAGAATTAGTAACTTTAGAATTACTAGTATTTAAGAAAAAAGTAAAATATTTTAAAACTCAAATTTTATTTATTTGTATAACTTTAGCATTTCTCCTCGAATATGACAAATACCTAAACCAAACAACCAGACCTACTTTCGCATCACATACTTTTCACGAATGACAAAGGGCCTCGCAAAGACCTGCCGCCCGGAGCCTCGCAATGGGTAAGGCCGCCTCTGACCCTATATATATACTAGCTGTACCCGCGACTTCGCCCGCGGAGGAGTCGGGCGTGGAGTTATTTTTCGCGGAACTCTAAAATAAAAGCAGCCCAAGTTACTCCTTATAACATCGGCTATCTGCCAGTATGTATAAATATTGACAAATATTGACATATTTATACGATACTAACGTCACTTAATTGTTTTGCCTTCCCGGAACCCCTCCACTAACACTTAAACTTTATGGTATGGTATTAAAGTTCAAATTGACTTTTAAGTATTATTACAAATCTTTTGTATGGGAATATAGAAAAGTTTTGTTTTTAGACTTTTCAGGCAATTTTTAAATTTTTCTCTCCGTAAGAACCAACTCCGTACTTTAAGGAATATTATAAAAAAAGAATTAGCGAAATCTGTTCAGCTGCTCTCGAGATTTGCGCTTAGCAACACATTCAGCGATTCATTTTTATACTATATATATATAATTTGTTAGCCTCTTTAGTCTATATTTGTTTCTTCATCATCATCATTACAGCCCTTCACAAATTCACTGCTGAACACAGGCCTCCCTTAAGGAATGCGTTTTATGGCATTCCTTAAAACGCCTTCCTTAAGGGGCCCTTTTTACTGGAAATGAGGCATTCCATCTTAGTCCTCACGGGTGACAACGCATCTACATTTTGATTTGTATCAGAGGATAGATGTAGATGTCTATGGGCCGCAGCATCCACTTACCATCAGGTGGACTGTGTGCTCGTTTGTCACCCTTATCCTATAAAAAAAAAAGGGAGTTTACGGTACTGAACCACTTGCACTCACTGACATCTTGCATGTCTTATCAGGTCATCTTTCGTCGTCATCTAACGGGGAGCCGCCTTTATTCACCTTCCACGTGGTAGAACCATGCTGCAGCTATATTAGTAGTATAGTTGTAGCACGAATGGGTCGGCTCGACCGGGGAAGGACCACGCTCTCACAGAATACCAGCGTAAAATAGCTGCTTAACGCTGCTGTTTCGTATGGTGAGTGTAGAGAACCGGAGACCCTTTTTACTGGACAAGAGGCATTCCATCTTAGTCCTTACGGGTGACAACGCATCTACATTTTGAGTCTTTATTGACCTTCTTGATCGAAGTTGGACTTATCTAATCAAACATATTGCTTCGAGCGTAATGTTTCCAACAACTACCGGTACATGCCTCAACTGTAGGTATACTGTATTGTGTATTACTGTATACCGTATTGAAGTTGCCATGGTTACCACGCTTGGTAACCACAGTTTTTTTACTTTTAGTCGTTATTAGGAAGACTGTACAGTCCATATCCTAATTTATTTCCCCCTATCGCCTCTTTCGACACCCACGGGACGATATAGAGTAACGGATATTCTTACACCGTCACTGCACGGCAAAAACCTCTAACACAGGTTTTTTAATTTCAACCTGCACATTCAAAAAGTGTCAATGCTAAACAAATATTTATTGTGTGTAGTCTCTTTGTAACAGAGTAGCAGCATTGTTGCAGAGAGTTGCTTGGTGGTATATTATATAATTCCGTAACTCTAGTACCTTTCTTGAGGCTACAAAAACTCATATGTTGCTGCGTCGATTGTAGAATGTCTAGGACACCTGTATTTACCTCGTATGGCAGTATCATGTCAGCTACACAGATATTGTACTCATAATGTTAATAAGTTGTAATGAATGATGAGCTATGGTAGTCATCGCTCTGGTGTCTGTCCCGATAATTGAGGTACCACAGGAATTGTATACCCTCTATGACTTCGACATTATTTTTTATATTGGGGATTCCAACTAATACAGCAATATTAGAATGTGAAAAGTAACACGCTGTAGACATATGAAAAGTAAAGTGTTTTAATTCAATATAAAAATCATTAAATGGTTTGGTAAAACGCATGATGAATCCAAGATTTTTTGTAGACTTACTAGTTATTGATGTAATGTGTACTAAAAAGTTTAGTTTGCTTTCTAACATCACTCCCTTTTTTTTTCTCTTTTCTACTTAACGCTGTTTGTTTTCGATATTGGATAAGTCAATGTGGTAATAATACTGTATAGGTATGTTTTATTTTACGGGTAAACGTAGATTGATATACAACTATCGATATTAGATGTTATTCATTGGTAAAAGGCCAGCAACACACCTGCAATTCCCCTGGTGTTGCAGTTGTTCATGGGTTGCCACCCATTTACCATCGGGTGAGCCGCATGCTCCTGAGCTACCACGACAGAAATAGTTACTACTGACCATAACTGAAATATTTGATAATAATAGATAAACATATAATATTAAAAATAATATTTAATATTAAAAAACTATATGTGTTATTATAATATACTTATGTAGGCACTAAATACTTCTAAGTCTATGCTAAATCCTGATAATATAAAATTGCGAAAGAACATAGTCGATCAGACTTTCTGTTACCTTTTTACGCGCGCTGAACAGATTTTATAAGGCGATGACATAGACTAACAGCATCCTGAAGAAAAACCTTTTACTGCGAGAGTTTAATATGGGCGAAACGGCAACTCTAAGCAGTACATTGGCTAAAAAGTGTACCTACATACGCAAGTACTGTCACTTGTTACCACTATTTATAATTATATTACACTAAAACGATCGATATATGATATCCTTAAATCATTCTAGGAGATTCAAGGATAAATGGATAAAACTAATCGCACTTACACCAATTACTAGAGGACAGGTAGGACACGTAACTGCCTATATCCCAAATGCATCGGTTATTACAAAAACATGTAACCTACGAATAAGACATAAACATAAAATTTATGCTAGCGTAATAAATGATGTCTGTGAGCATAAATGTCCACGTTGGATGGATAAGCCGCATAAGTCCGACGCTTGACGATAACGGTAGTAAATTAACGCAACATCCACAGTGTGACTGAATTTACAAGCCCCCATCAAGAAGCCCTTGATACATTATTTCATTTTATGATTTTAATATTAATGATATAGGCGCCTTGAAATACTATCGTTATCAATTTGAGATGTCGGAAAATCTTCCAAGAACTTTGCAATGTAATGCATCGGCATATTATGAAGAATTTTGTGAACAAAATACGCGTCAGACTAGGCCGTATGTGCATAGATCTCTAGGTCTTAAAAAAAATTAAACTAACCTCTTTTCTTGTTTCTTGAATCTTGACGTTTCGTAATTTTGTTTTGAATTTCGGTGAGCAAGAAATCAAGAAATGGTATATTAATAAATGTGAAGTCTATTACTTAAACATGTCCCTGTTATGGAAATCTGCACCTATTTTAAAAAACCTGGTAAAATATGTACCTGCAGCGACACGGGGTAATTCTGTTAAAATTTGGTCTTTATTATATATATATTATGCACAAGTGTTTTATTCTATTTTTTATTATTTTAGTCCAAAAAATTCACCGATGGGTTGCACCCACATTAATGGAATTAAAGAGACGAGAAGACAAATTAGGAGGTAAAATAACAAACCCAAGGAATACTTTTTTAGAGTGGAATTTAGAAGCTGAATTATTCGCCTTTGGAAAGAGATTGAATGAAGAATTTGACTCAGATTTATTATTACAAGCTTTTACTGATAGATCATATGTTATAAAAGAAGAAATGAAACAAAAGGAAATTGAATTTAATATAAAAATGAAAGATAATAAGGAGTTAGCAGAAGAAGGTAAATCTTGTTTTATTATAGTCAGTCGTAGTATAGCTTTGGCAGCTCAGGCGCTAAGTACTTGCTGGAAATTTCACAGTACGCGAGCAACTCGAGTTCGGCATAGAAGATTAAGAACGGAGTAGAGAATTACATTAAGCTACAGTTATTGGTAGAGGTCTACCTAAACCTCTTTTTTTTGTGTAGAATTGGAAAGTAATTTCTTCACTACATGGTTATAGGGTCTTCACATGCCATCATGTCCATACTACCTTACCCTGAAATCTGAGTATAAATAATAGAAGCTACATAATATCTGCCCTATATAAGTTTATTAGGTACTTTATTCTTTAGGTTGTAAACTGGGGTATGTAGCATTTCATTGTTTATTTTCTTCATATCCCACATTTTAGTACTGAAAAGGAACTGTTTTTACTGCAGTTATATAAACCTAAGTATTTGATTTTTCATGCACTTTTGGATTGTATAGAACTCCTATTAGTTGTTCTATACAATCCAAAAGTGCCATTTATTCCAGCCAGATGTTGTCCCATTATTTGGTCTTGATTCAGCTAATATGTAGTCCATTTGGTATAACAGATTTTCTTCATTGGTCTATATTTTCCTGATATTCTTGAATACTGCCTGATATTACAGCTACATCATCAAAAAATATAAATACAAAAAATTCCAATGTAAAGGTTCAGGCATTCTTTGTGGCATTCCCTGCTTGCTGCAATGATGTTGGTGATAAAGGACTTCTGGTTAGAAATTTCATATTATTGAACAACAGGAGTCTGAGATAACTCTCTTGATGAACTTCCATTAACTTGTAGTTAAAATGGGAGTTCGGTTTAACTACAAGTTAAAGTTCAGTTCAAGTGTTTTCTCACCAATTGATATTAAAAAAAAAAATATTAAGTAATACAATTAAATGGTAATAATAAAATTCAAAGTACTTATTTGTCATTCCTGGCAAACAATATTAATGAATCATCATTTTTAAACAGATTTTCAGAGCCAATCACACTTCCAATGCATGTACCAAAAAAGAAAGGAACAACCTAAGGAAAGAACCAATTTTATTTATTACATTGTTGATAGTTAATTAGTAGTAGTAAATTAATTAGCTAGGAATTAGTTTACGTCACTTATTATAACATTTTGATTAAATTAATGAGAAATAAAGTTATAAATTCAAAGTGCTAGTAATGTACATGCTCACTAAGTAAAAATGAAACATGTTTTTTTGTTTGTTTTTTCTCTTTAATAAAGTAAAAGCAGATAAAAGTTTAGTATGGATATGGAGTGTGAGCCCACCTTACTGAAACACAGCTTGAATTTTCATCTGATGGATTCTTGTGAATTATGTTCCCACTCCAGAGTAATCACATTCTTCAGCTCTCTGATGATCTGGGGAGCCAGTTGCACCGATCTCACTCATCACTTCAGAACATTCGTGTTTAGGTCAGGACTTCAAGCTTGCCGATCCAAACAACGAATGCCAATCTATAGCATATACGCTTCCACATTGCCGGACTAGTGGGCGCTAGCGTTGTCGTCCAAAAAAATTGAGTTTTCGCCAAGAGCGTCCTATGTGGGTTGTGCACGAGGAATTAAAACGTATGTTATGTATCATTGTCCAGTCAGTGTGCCATTTTTGTTGAAAACTAACTCCATACAGTCTAACAAATTTATTCCTGCCCAAAATAAAACAGTCCCCATCATAAGGTGTGATTTATTGAAATCATGTTCTTCTCCTCTTCGCCCACGTCAGTTTTCACCATACAGAGATATCCTGCCTTCATCACAGAACCCTTTCCCAGTCTTCTTGAATCCATGACACACAATTTCGGCAAAGCTAAGCCTGGTAACTTGGTACTCACGGAGTAATTTCTGTAGTTTATTGCCAATGAGAAGCCTCCTCCATCCATAAACTAATATGCATATTTCTTACTTCTTCGAGGTTGTTCTTGAATCTTGAGGTCCACAAACGAAGATTTGCGATTTGCGTTTTCTCAACGCGAAATCAGAAAATGATCATTCCATGGTTCGGTACATAGTTTTCTTCCAGAACCAGGCCTTCTCTTCAAACGACTCACATTTAGCTGCTGAGCCACGAAGCACTGGCTGCAAACCTCCTCAAGCAGCGCATTAATTTTGCTCGCTTTTATCACTTTATCTACCATTTTCGAGACCGCAATACTATAAAAAGGTCAAGGCAATTTGATAAATCTATAAAAATGAACTAAAAGTTATTTAGAATCAATATTAACTTTGAGGATATTGTGCCAAAATATATAATAAAAAAGTTATTTTCTATAAAAAAAAACCAGCCCAGACAAAAATTTTAATTTGGAATGTACTTTTTTAAATACCACAGCACTTTTATAAACGGCCAGTAACATGTTCAAATTATTAAAACCTTTTTCGTACTGTATTTTTTTTTTTCAGGAAAAAAAATCAAAACAGCACATTTATTTTTCGCAAATAGGTTATTAAATAGTTTATTATCTATTATAATTTTTCAGGTGAAAAATTTATAGAACAGTACATTCAAGTATATTTAGAAACGGTCCTGCCTAAGTTTCCTTTAGAAGGTATCTCAGGAATTAAAGCACATCTAACATGTGAAGAAACATTAGCAAATATATCTTTGCATCTTGGTACTAAAGATATTATACTTGCATCTGTAAGTTTTAAAATGTGTAATAGCTGTATAAGTACATAAAAGAAAATGTAATAATATATTATGATATTCTATTGTTTTCAGGAATACCCTGTTGATAATTACATTTTAGCAAAAACATTTAAAGCCATAGTTGGGGCTCTTTTGAGATCAGCAGGTGAAGAAAGAGCCGCACATTTTGTGAGAGACTTTGTTATTACTCAGTTACAAGGTAATTACTCATAGAATTTGTATTGTAGACTCTTTTCACCTAAGCTATAAGAGGGTACATTATGTGCCACACTACGTCTCAGAAGTTAGCTGTGAGAAGTGTTGCACATTGCACTTTGTTTTTTTTTATAGAATAAGGGTGACAAACGAGCACACAGTTCATCAGAAGGTAAGTGGTTGCTGTGCCCCTTAGACATCCACAATTATCGTTGATTAATAGTTCAAATGCAGATGCACTGTCACCCCTGAGGATCAAGACGGAATGCCTAGTTTCCAGTAAAAAAGGGTTTCCAGTTCTCTAAACTCACCATACGAAATACAGCACCATTAAGCTACTATTTTACGCTGGTATTCTGTGAGAGCGTAGTCCTACCCCAGTCGAGCCGACCTATTTGAGCTACAACCATAATATAGCTGCAGTGTGGCTCTATCATGTATAAAATAGGTGAACGATGTTTCACTTAGCATTATAACGTCACTAGTACTTCTCGCTCTGACGCGTTAAATTTATGTAGTTATGTATAGTAATTAACAAATATTTACACATCTTTATACAAATACAGTAAATACCACGACCTCACAGAATACCGGCGTGAAGTAGAAGCTCTGCTTCTGCGTTTCGTCTGGTGAGTGCAGGTGGCCGAAGGCCCAATTCCCCCCCCCCCCATTAACATGGTAGCGGAATTACACGAAAGACTACCCCAGGAGGGTACCAGCACCCCTGGAGAAGCTGAACATCCACGACCATGTTATTCCACTCCTGAACGTGGCTGCTCAGGCTGCCCCGCGTATTCGGGGGGGGGGGGGGAGCAAAATTCCGCTCAAAAACATAACTGCTCGGGGCAAACTAAGCAACAATACCAAGGCGACCCCTGCCACGCTATCCATGAATTTGTGCAACATCAGGGGACTTCACTCGAACCTAAACGCCGTCCACTACCATCTCGAGACCGCGAAGCCAGCCTTACTCTTTCTGACCGAGACGCAGGTGTCCTCTCCGGCTGATACTTTGTATCTCTCCTGCCCAGAGTACAAATTGGAGCACTCCTTTGCGCCTCGGGCTGGAGTTTGCGTGTATCTCAGAGAGGACATCTGTTCTCGACGCCTCGGCAGTGTTGAAGGTTCGGACCTGTCCATCCTTCGGCTACGCGTAGACAGCGACGACTATCCGCGCGTCTACGGGTGCCTCTATAGGTCCCATAGCGGTAATGCCCAAACAGACTGACTCATCGACCACGTCCAAATGGCTACAGATTCCTTGCTACAACAGGTCCCATCCGCAGAGATCGTGATCCTTGGCGATTTTAACGCCCACCACGCCGAATGGCTCGATTCACGTTTAACCGATCATACGGGGAGATCTGTTTATGAATTTGCCTTGGCATATGGTCTGACACAACTGGTTACTTTGCATACGCGGATTCCAGTTGTGGAGGTTCATACACCTTCCCTGTTGGACCTTCTGCTGACCTCTCATCCGGACGGATATCAGGTTTCCGTCGATGCCCCTCTCGGCTCTTTGGACCATTGTCTGATCCGGAGTGTGGTGCCACTCACGCTCCCTTCGCGGTTGCGTTCTGCAGGTTGCCGCCGTGTTTGGCATTACAGGTCGGCGGATTGGGACGGAATGCGGTCTTTCTTTGCATCCTACCCATGGGGGCGAGTTTTCTTCTCGCCGGATGATCCCAGCGCTGTTGGTGACTGTCACTGATGTGGTGCTACAGGGAATGGAACTATTTATTCCATCATCTGTGGTACCCATCGGGGGCAGATCTCAGCCTTGGTTTGGTCGCTCCTGTAAGACTGCATTACGCAGTAAGCAGGAGTGTTATCAAGCCTGAGTTCTTTCTGATCGGCTCGATACACTGGCACTGCGTAGAGATGTTGCATCTCTTTGCGTATTTTATCGCATCTACCACGGGGAGTGCTCTGAGGAATTGTGCGGACTAATTTCACCATCGCACATCGAGACAAAAGTCGCTATATCTGGATGATTGGCGGTTCACCACTGTGCGATTTATAAGAAGATTTCTTCCTCGCACAACTTCCTTGTGGAATCGATTACAACCAGCGATTTTTCCGCACCGTTACGACCTTCAAGAAAAGAGCCTATTCCTTTTTAAAAGGCCGGCAACGCATCTGCTATTCCCCTGGTGTTGCGGTTGTTCATGGACGGCGGTAGTCACTTACCATCAGGTGAGCCGCATGCTCGTTTGCCCCCTCTCCTATAAAAAATAATACAACTTTAGTAAACTTCATTGTCTTAGAGAACAACTAAATTGCTCAGCCCTAAGCTTAGTCAATAGTTCTCTGGTCCTGTGCTGCCAATTCAAAAATCTTTTTTTAATCATTTATAATTTTAAATATATGTAATGAAGCTCAACAAGAGCATTTTGGCAATTATTTATCGGGAATATACGGGAATCATTTTAATCATATCAGCCTGTAAAAGAAAATGATTTTTTTTTCGGACTTCATTGGTACTGGCGGGGATCGAAGTTGGTTATTTCGCATACTACAAACTTATAGGCAGAAGCTTGTCTCTATTAACTAAACTATTTATTATTAATTTAACTTAAACCAACAAACTAATCATTAGTAATTATTCATAATGAGATTCAGGAGAAACTACTTTCAACTCCTAAAACTGAACAATATATAATAGTAAATGTAACATATCTTCTTTAAATTCACTGTAATTTCAGGGAAGGATATAAACGAATACTGGAAGATAGAAGACCCTTGGATAATGCTTGTAGACATACTAGAAAAAGATGGAATAAAAATTGAACCAAGGCTGATCGGTGAAGTTGGAAAGAATACTTTGCTAGCTTGCTACAGAGTTGGTCTATATGTAGACAAGAAATTGTTTTCTTCTGGTACGTAAAAATTCAATAATAAACTATGAATGTTTTAAAGCAAAATCATTTGCAACTAAAGATAAAAATACCCTAATGAAAAACTCTTTCAGGATTTGGAGAAACAGTTTCGTCCGCTAAAGAAGTGGCTGCATTGGAAGCACTTAAAAAGATTTTTGGAACAGAAGATAGCATGGCTCCTATCAATTTTAAACTCCAAGGAATACAAAAAACAGTATCAAAGCAGCATAAACAAATATCTGCCAGTTAGATGTTAACATTTTCATCGTAGAGAGTAAAAATAAACATGTTTATTAAATAAGTCAATATATTTTCTTTTTAAAACATTAATTTACATATACACGAATAATAAGTCATAACAATAAAATATTACATTTTAGATATAACTACAAATATACTTCAGGCTAACATTTACACATTTATTACTAAAGAAATTCATTTAAGGAAGCATCCATTATAATACAATCCTAAATTATTTTGGTGCTGAAATTAACAATGCAGTAATATCACAAAATAACATTTGCCTTCAATAAATAAGTTAATTTTTATCAACTGGGGGCAGAGTCCATAATAAGATTGCCATGTTTATCCTTGATGCGAATTCTGCCAGAAGCATATCGAGTTTCCGCAGTACCATCATTGTAAATTAATTTCACCGTGCCGTCTGGAAATTCACGACGCTGCAAACAATACAATTTGTTTAAACCTCGTTAATATTTAATTAGCGCCTTTACTTAAGCAATACACAAAAAAATAACGATCTATAAAAGAAACAAAACGATCTATAAAAACCCATATGTAAGAACATTTAGCTGACTTGAGGCACCGACGTTCCAGGAAGTCTGCAGTGTGTGAACATGTTCAAGATCGTCCCCGCCATTACATTAGATTTGCCAGACCACAAATCATCGCAAAAGAACACCGATTCCTACCAAGGATGATTCGCGAGGCTATTGAAATTAAAAAACATCCAAATTTCAATAGAGAAGATGGATAGGTGCTGCCATCTGTCATCCTACCAAACTGGTTTGAATTCACAGCTAAGATGTCACAATATGACGCTATGTCACTGTTCTTATTTGAAACGCATAGTACAAATTCTTAAATAAATGTCTACCATCACAATAATTTTATTTCTAAGATACTTTGCGAGATCTGGCTAGTGGACTGATAACGGAGTGACCACATTTTAAGGGTTGTAATTTTTTACACTTTTTACATATTCCAAGATTCTACAATTATTTGACGCCTGCTACTAAATCTTTTTATTACATGAACTCCCAGAAAAGTCCCTCAGTGCCCCCACACACACACTGTTTAGGCCCGGCGCCCACTGGCGGGATGGCAAGGCGAGGTGTTCATCCTTGGGTATCTCTACATGTAAGAATCCATCCTTGGGTATCATACAAGAAGCTAGTGGCTATGCAAAATATATTATAAGCGGTCATGACAATAATGTAACGTGGTCGTCATGAAGATAAACAGTTATGTAATAGTATTTAATATTTTCTATACCAAATTACCTTGTGATCTTTAGCATGTACTTCAACTTGACCATTACTAAAAACAATACGCTGTTCACCGTTTGCAGCGACGGTCAGCGCGGCACCATCAGGGAAGCGCCACTCTTCTCGAACGTGTTTATTTTTCGGGTCAAAGTAACGCACACTGCCATTAGGGAGGCGGATCTCCGATGAACCATCCTTGTACCGTTTCTCTACTTGACCACTAGAAACAAAAGTCATGGTTATACATAAATAAATTGGTTTTTAAGTCTTACTAAAGACAGACAAGAACTATTTGCTATTTATTTAATGAGAAAACAAAATGTGGTCAGGACATATAATTAATAACAAATTGATAATGACAAATTAATACTGGTATTATAAAGTTTAACTAAAGGAGATTTATATTAATTTTTCAAAGAAAAAAATAACAATATTACAAGAAGTACTTACTCAGAAAATTCTAAAACTTCTAGTCCATCTGCATGAGTAGTATGAAATGTTTTGGTTTCAGCATAAAAGTATTTTATCCTCCCTTCATTATAGAAATTTTCTTTAACATCACCATTGTAATAAACAAATTTGCTGTATTTTCCATCAGCTGAAATAAATTTTACATTGCCATTTGGGAATCGTAGCTCTCTTGATCCGTCAGGCTTTCTTATTTCTGTTGGATTTAAATTAGTTTTTGTCAAACTACATTTGCTTGCATTTGGTTCTGGAGTAACAACCATCCTTGAATCTTGATATTGCTCTTTGTTTACAACTGTGGCTAACCGTTGACTAGAAGAGGGGTTACTTGTTAAGGTAGGAGACTCAGAAAAATTGTCACTATTTGAATAATCTATTGGAGAATTTCTTAAACATCGTTGACTTCCATTAGAATTGGATACTTTTGATGTCACAAAATTTGTTTCATTAAGTTTACTATAGTGGGAACCTGAAGAGTCCTGACTAGAGTTTGATTTACGTATGAAATAACTGCTAGTGTCAATATGATTACCATTTTTGCTAGAACTAGATAAAGTCGACCTTTTACTTTTAGGAGAGCTATTCTGAAACCTTTCAGTGTAAATTTTTTCTAAGTTATTTTCATCTTCGCTGTCTGTAACACTTTTATCAGAATTTGTATTAGAATCTCCTATCTTTGAATTTTTATAATTAATTTGATCTTCAATATAATGCAATGGTGAACTGCACATCACATCAACATTCAAGGTTTTATTTCTCTCCACTTCGCTTATGGTATCTTTTTGACTAAAATATTTTGCATATCTTGAAGTGACATTCAAATTTGGAACACTTTTTGCTCTAGGCCTAATAATACCTTTATTCTGTGATTGGATTCTTCTACTTCTACCTTGTCTTTCAATTTCATAAGCTTTATATTTTATGTCAGGATCTAAATTAATTTCAGACTGTGAATCTTTTGAAACCATATTTGAAAGTTTATTGTTTATTTGTTCAAGATACTTCAAATTTGTTAATCTTCTTGTCACTTCATTACTGTGCTGAATTCGTCTATTTTCTTTTTTTAGTTTTTCAACTTCATCTTCCAAACTCTTTTTTTCTTTTTCCATAACTTTCAATTGATTGCGAAGTCTTGCTATTGTTGATGTGGATTTTGCATCTTTCACTCTTATCTCTTCTTTAAGGTCTTTTATTTCTTTCTTCAGATTTATAACTTCATCTTTGTCTTTTTTATTTAATCTCCCTCTCATGTCCCTTACATATCTTTCATATAGTTGCTTTTGTTTTGTAATCTTTTCTTTTTCTTCAGCCAAATAATACTCAGACAAAATTTTTTCCTCATTGAATTTTTGTTCACAAGCAAGTTTTTCCTCAAAGAATTTTTGCTTTTCTAAATCGATTTCTTCACGCATTTTTGTCAAGTTTGCATTTTCTTTTCTGAATGTCTCTATTTCATCTTCTAGCTCACTAAGTCTATCTTTTAGCAACTCACTTGTTGCAATCAGTTTGGCATTCATTTCAGCCATATTTGCTTTCATTGTGTCAGTGTCATCAGAGGCATTGCCATTATGACATTTCTTGTCTTTTTTATTTTGCACACCAGTTACTACAGCCTCCTTATCGTCATTGCTTTCATTCTTATTAATATTACCTTTTTGTTCATTTTTGCTTTGCTTTTCTTCCCTATAACATGCACAACTAGAACTTGCTGGCTCAACAGTTATGCAAGAACAGCAGCTTGATATGGAGGAGCATGTCTCAATACATTCTGTGCATTTACTTTGAGACCTTTTAGGATCATGGTGATCATTTCCACTTTCCTCTTCTGGTAAATTGGGTTTAATATGCAATAAATCAGGATTTTTAGAGAGACATCTTTGCATAACTAGAGGTGTGCTCTCACCAGAGCATTCAAACTTTTTTCTTTGTAGAAAACGATTAATAAAGGAGTTTTCAATATTAAAACTCTCATGAGTTACTTTACTTTCAAGTAAATCAAACATATTCTGTTCTGCTGTTTCTTTTTCTTGACTCATCTTAATAATGTTGTCATCACAACTTATATCTGATATTACACTCTTAGCCGGGGAGTCAAAGTTTTTGTAATAATCACTTTGTTTAAGCTGTTGTAAAAAGTCATTTTGTTCTTTAGTAAGTACTGCTGCCCATGTTTTCCCATTATTTATTTGAAGTGGATGTTTTCCTTTAGGTAAATGAATATTTTTTTGTTCGGGTTGTTCTGTAGAAGGCTTATCGGAAATACAAATTTTATTAAATTGTATTTTTGTTTTGTTATTTGATTCTTCTGGGACCTTTACAGGTTTTTCAATTTCATTAATATTGAAGTCAACATTTTTATTGTTTGGAGATGATGGTTTTGAGACTATAATCTGAACTTCAACTTTCTTTGCAGTAGTTTTAGGTTTATCAATTTTTTTTACTTCTTTATGGGCAGTTTTTGTTTGTAGCTTCTTTTGATGCCATGGTAAAGATTTAGTAGGTTGAATAACCAAGTCTTTCTTTTGTAAACCAAAACGAGACATGCCTTCACCTCTTTTAAGATAAGATTTTTTACCATTTTTCATCAAAATATCTTCATTCTGTTTACATTCATTTCTCTTAACATTGTCTTCAGTTTGTAGGTTTTCAATTATCATGGCTTCGAAATTTTTCTTTGGACTCAATATAGGCATCTCATCCAATGCAATCTGTTTATTAGTCGATTTTTCTTTACTATTATGTGAGGATACGTTCACATTACCAGATTCTGATTCTGATAAAATCTTACTTTTCATGGATGTGGGCGAATTCACAATAAACTCCGATTCTTGAGAAAGATTTAGTACGGATACGCCGTCTACCAAATCACGTTCTACTACATTCCTCGTCGAATTACTTGTGTTCCAGCGAGGAGACGTTTCATTTGATGAATCTTGATGTGTACATAGTAAACTTCGAAATGTATTATAGGTAGTACTATTACTAAAATGACTTACAATTTCAGTAATATTTGACGAAATTTCGGAACAATCTTGATATTGTAACTGTTGTTTTTGCAACTTCTCGCGTTGTAACAGCTGTAACTGCCGCAACACTTGAAGTCGTTCCAGTATTTGCGAGGGCGACATGGAAAGATCACTTTCTGAATAGGACTGATCCATTTTAATAGTTCACTGTTTACATCGTTACATATTATCATTTCATTAGTTTTATGAAGTTTAAAAACAAAGTTTCAAACAAAAACGGAATATATTGAGTTTGACGTAACGAAAAA